AACCCAACCTTCACCCACAGGCATTCAGGCAGTTATATCACATAAGCACATAGCCTCATGGTAAGCATGCTATCATGGCAGTCACTCACACGCATGCAAGGATGCTAAAGCATAAACACTTACCGAGTACTCTGAGCCAAAGAAAGAAGTTAATTAGAAATCATGCATGAATCCTAACTATGCTAAGAATGCCTAATGCAACACATCCAAAAATGCAACTACAATAGGCTCGGCTATTCTAAGATGGAATATGAGATGCAACAATCGATACATGTATTCAACTTGGAATTAAAATACAATGCAGTTAGCATGATGCGCTGAGCCCGGTGCATGCAATACAGTCGAATGGATGCAAACATACGAGCATAAGGATGCTAATTTAAACGTGCCCTAATACTAACCATCATAAGCTGGTAAATAAAAGGGAGAAAGACGTGGGGTTGAAAGACATACATCACACACACGCACACTTATTAAAACATTGCCCTCCTCGGAGGGTCCGAATAAATAATACACAACCGAATGAATAACGAATTACAGCTAATTATTACACAACCCTAATTAACAAATTAACTAAAATAAATAAGCTAGCATGCAAAACATATGAAATGGACTGCCTCAGCTCGATCTTGAATGACAAGGAATGCATGCATGCTCGAGTCGCCTTGCCGGAAAATCCATCGCGATGCCCCGATTTGCCTCTGTTTGCAACTGGTCCTAGAACACTGAACAAAACTCCAGAAGGCTGAAACTCCACCATGCTGTAGGGATACTACCGACCAGTTTTTGCTGCTGGTTTCCGGTTTGCTGCTACAGAGAGCAAGAAAGGGGCATGGCAAAGTATTTTCAACATATGTGTGCACGACCACTCTCCCCGTCATTGCATAAGCTCTAGGGAGTGTAGTCCTCAATCCTCGTGCCACCAATCACGCATCTCGATGCATGATGACCGAGGAGTCGAATTGCATGACTCAATGTGAAATTGATGTACAAATGAACACAATAAGGCCTAAACTCCATCATGGGTAATCAAGAGTGTCGGCGACCGGGAATCGAAGCACGTTTCGTCACTTTGAGTATGAAGCGTCCCTCGTTTCCCGTGTTTGGACTAAACCCTACTCCAAACACTATGCAACAACTAGAATGGCATGGCATGCAAACACAATGCAACAACTAGCATGCAATCCTAAACGAAATGCAACTAAGACATGCAAACATGCAAGGAATGACATGCAAAGGTGCAACTAGCATACGCAATACTATGAACTACGAATGGCATACTCAATGCACATGACGCTATATGGCATACACAACGCACATACGAAGATGGACATACACAAAAGGTATAATCAAGGCATACACAATGCAACGATCAAGCATGCGACAACATGTACATAGCATACACAATGCAAGATGAACTTAAACTAAAATGAATGGGCCTCAGCAAATTAGGCAACAAAACACACGCAAATATGCACAAATGCAAGGGACCAAACCTAAGGCACCAAATGCAACTCTGCCAAAGCATGGCAAGGGATGAAATATGGCATACAACCACATATTTTCCAGCTCTGAAATGACATGCAAGATGGTCCTGCATCACATAAACACCTCACACAATGCATGCTAGATGGCCCGGATACCGAAATTAGTGAAGTGCATTACACTAGAGGTACACAAAGCAATGCTCAAATGACCCAACCAGCCCCAAACAGTCCCTATACAAGTCTAAGATAGTGGGAAAATGGTCTAAAATGATGGCTCGAAATGCATAGAAATGAAGCTCATGCAATGGTCCATAAATGAAGTATTTAAGCACGACTCTCAAACACATTTAAAAAGTGGAAAATATAGGAATATGGCATAGGTATAGGCTCTGAAATGACATGCTCAATGACCCCAAAACATGAAAACACCTCAGTATAAGCATGCATAGGCTTCAAAACTCAAGGCTAGGCAAGGGTATTACACTACAACCATGCATAGAAAGCATCATTCAACCATGAGGCATAAAAATAGAGCTAAGGCAGTCCAAAACATGCACAAAATCAGTTTAAGGTATGGCCAAAAAGTGCTAGAATCAAAGACCAAAATAGCATGCAATACAAGCTAGTGAAGAGGGTTTACACTACAAGTATATGAAGCATTCAAGAGGTCACTAAACTAGAAAAATTCAGAGGTATTACATGCCAAATAAAGCCCAAAAACTCATTGAAACATGGTCAATGCATGCAAGAATGTCAACTTTCAGTTAATTTGTGGGTTGCGTGTTCACTATCTTCCTGGGCTGCGTGTTCAGAAAATTTGAGATTTGAGCTGCGTGTTCAACTTTCAGTTAATTTGTGGGCTGCATGTTCACTATCTACCTGGGCTGCGTGTTCAGAAAATTTGAGATTTGGGCTGCGTGTTCAACTTTCATCTAATTCGTGGGCTGCGTGTTCACTATCTACCTGGGCTGCGTGTTCAGAAAATTCGAAATTTGGGCTGCGTGTTCAACTTTCAGTTAACTTGTGGGCTGCGTGTTCACTATCTATCTGGGTTGCGTGTTTAGAAAAATTTAAAGTGTGGGTTGTGTGTTCACTTTCAAATTCGGGCTGTGTGTTCGACAAATCAGTGTTGGAGCCATGTGTTCTAATGTGGGCTGTGTGTTCGCAATTAATTGGTGAGCCAAGTGTTCAGAAATTCAAGTGTTGAAACTACATGTTCAAGATATAAGCAAAGTACTATGTCATAAGCTAAACTGCATGTTCAAGCATGGCAAGGGTGCGAAATGTAAAATACAGAAGATAAGGTAAATACCTCTCGGGCCTCGTGAGAGAGATGCTGCTCCGGCTCTCTGTGAAGCAGATCCACGGGTGCTCTCTCGTCAAAGCTGGTAAAATGGCGGAAGACGGCACGCGGAAGGACGTGAGCTGGCGGACGGTACCTCACGGGAATGAAAGGGCGAGTCCTCGGAGGTAGAGTCATAGGATCGAAATCATCTCCGGCCCCTGGAAAACCTCCGCCATGGGAAGAAGTACCCGCCATTTTCAAGAATCTGCAAAAGGGGAGCAAAAATGAGCAAATTGGGCCAAAATTGGAAAAAGTCAACAAAAGTCAACTCTCGGGAAATAAAAAGTCAACAAAAGTCAACTCCCGAGAAAATATTCCAAATATTAAGATAAACTTACCTCAAGTGGTGAAAATGCAAAAAGAAGCTCCGAAGCCGGAATTTAATCGCTCCAAAGTGTTTAAAACTGAGTGTTTTTACGAAAACAATTTGCGCGGGGCGTTGGAAAACGCGCGTGAAACTCAAAACTGGAGAGAAAAGTGTTGAAAGAGGCAAGAAATGAAGTGAGGTTCGGCTGCCATTTATAGGCCTCAAACCTTGGATTGCAAGAGCATCAAAAAGGAGGGAAAAAGACCAAAATGCCCCCGAAAAAAGGGCATGGCCGGCCGGCCTTTATTTCTAGCTGGCCAGCCATCTGCTTTTTGCAGAAATGGCCGGCCAGCCATTAGCTTTTGTGGAAACCGGTTGGCCACCTCCCCTTGGGAAGATAAACGGCCGGCCATCATCCCCACATGCTCACCTAGCTCTCTGCAAATTTTGAGGAAGATCGGAGTTCCCGGGACCCGAAAAAGTTCAGGAAAAGTACACTTCCGTTCGCGAAATTGCTCCGTCGGGACTTCGGTTTCAAGTTCTGACATGTGTCTCATCATCATTCATCGAAATCAAAGTGTATCATTTTTGAATCATCATCATTCATCGAAATCAAAGTGTATCCTTTTTGAATGAGTGGTAACATTTCAAAGAAGCAGATCGGAGGCCGCAATTGAGTTACCTTCACCGAAACACGCTTTTCCGTACTTGTGGTTTCATGGCAAATGAGCACCCTGATTCATGCTCATTTTTGTACTATCGTGCACATTATCTTGCATTCTCATGGGCATACTCACGTTGTCATTTCTTGATATTTGTATACCTCTGTGTTTGAGCATGCGTTGTCACGCACGTTTCACTTTCGCATTGCGATGCATTCACTCACCGGCACTGCGTGTGTCGAATTTTCGAAATCACATTGAATCCATGTTGTTAGCATATTGTGCTTGTTGCAATTTCTCTCTTTTGCAGGCACGATATTGTATATACGGTTCAATTGAGACTGGTGCGACCAGACGAATCGCGCAGGTATCGTATCCTCTCCGTGTGAGACGCGACGAGAATTGAACAATTCTCCGCATTCTTAACTGCATGAAATGTAGTTGTTGCTTTGCATTCTTGCTTAAAACTGTTGCATCTATTTGCGAATACTTGCTTCATTACAGCTTGCTGCATTTGCATGATCATTAGTTATGTTCGGCTTCTTGCACATCACTTTGCATTTTGCCCCCCTGCCTGCGGGCACATCTCTGTTTACTTTGTACGCTTGTCTAAGTCTTCGGCCTTGTCAAAAATGGGTCGTCTCCGGGCTTTGACATTCACTCCCGTCACTTGTGACTTTCGAGTTCTGTC